ATCAATACAGCTTGATGATTCTGCTTGAGTATGGGTTACTGAGTTTATTAGCGATATAAAGTTATGTTTACTTAAAATATCTAAATATTTACTTGTACTTTCGCATACACTTCCATCTAAAATATTTAAGTTAATATCACCAACTAAATAGTGATACTCCACTAAACGATTATTTTGGGTTTATTGCAGGTAATCTTCTAAAGCTGAAACAAATTCCTCTTTATCACTATTTGGAGATCTATATAGCGCTGTTATAATTATAGGATTATTTTTATCTATATTTAGAATTAATTGGATAACTTTACAGTTTGCTATGAATATAAAATTAGACTTATATTTAATTGTATTTTTTACATAAACCACCACCCCATCGTTTTTATTATATTCTCCTTCATTGTATACTATATTATAGTTATTCATGTAGTGACAATTTATATCATGTATTTTAAATGTTTCTGTTAGTACAATTACATCAAATATATAATTTATATCTATTAGATTTATTTTTAATTCGTTTATATTTTTATTTAAACTTTGTATGTTTTGATGGAATATTGTAAAGTATGAATTGTGTTTCAATACATTTAACTGTTGTTTAACATCCCTAATATTGTTACAACTGATGGTATTTACTGTAGTATAATTCACATCCCTTATATATTGATCCATAAGAAATATAAATACAATAACAAGCTAAGTAAAAAATGAAAGGACAAACTATAATTAGTAAATATATTTAAATGGTAATAAAGTAGTAAATTTATAATTTTTGAAGTTTATGTTTACGTAGTTTTTGGATGTATGCAGGTGGACTTAGTGTCTTTCTTTTTTTGTCTTTATTTAATTCTAATGTTTCTTTCTCTGTGTTTTGTTGTGAACTTTGTTCAATTTTATTTTCTTCTTCTTCTTCCAAGGTATCTTCCCCTTCAGTAACTGCTTTACTTTCGTCTTCCGACTCCTCAGAATCAGACACAATATCTTCCAGTTCCTCTGCTTTATACCATTTATTATCTATTTGTAGCTGATGTCCTCTAATTCGAGATGGAAGACTATTTTGCTTGGCCAATTTATAATGTTTGACGAGGATTTTATGTCTTTCTCTATCTGAATCACAGAGATCATTCGTAATTGTTATTTTCACTCTTTGTGATTGTAATTTCTTAATATTCTCAAACACAGTTAGCTTCTTCAGAAAAGAAATAAATTCAATTATTAAGGGAGGATTTTGGCTTCTACCAATTTTATATATATTATTTATATCGTTTGGAACGAGGTCTATACCTAACAGAGTGTTAATTTTTGTTAATGTATCTTCAACTAACTTGTTACCATCAACTGATAGACCAAAGATAACGATATTATTTTTTCGTACCTTCCTTTCAAGAAATAGGCATTTTTTTTGTAAAGTGTTTATTTTTTCTTTGTTATGTGCAATTTTTTGTTTTAAAATATTATTGCTCATTAGAATGTCCTCTTTTATTTCCTTTGTTTGTTTATTCAGTAGTTCTTTTATTGCTTCTAGAGTTAGCGACCCCATTTGTATTTCATATGTAGGTACTATTTTATTTTTAAGACTCGGCAACAATGGCTGGAAGACAGCAGAATACAGCGGACTTTATCGCAATTCAATATCTTTTTTGTTTTACTGATAAGATAAATTTATTTTATTTCTGCTTTGAACTAAGGTTTTTCTTTGACTAAACAAGTGAGAAATTCAGGATCACTGTCCTTTTTAGACAGAAAAATTAACACCAGTATTAACTTTCTGAACGCAACGTTGCCATATAACCCTGGATAATGCACAATGGGCCTTATGAGGCCGAAATGCAGTACAAGAACTCACCTTCCTTACCTTACAGATACAGATAATTTATAATATTAACTGAAACTAATGTAGGATGTTGTCATATTGTTCTATTTATAAAATTAATTTTATTCAGTAATCAAGAAAACTTTGTTCTGTATAATTAATAATAATTTTTATTAAAATGTATCAGTGTTTTTTTGTTTTATGGCTTCGATATTCACAATAAATCAGCCTCAGTTTGTTATTTAATTTTTATTAATATGTATTTTGTGTAGGCTTTGTTATTGTTTTCCTGTTATAAAATTGTTTTGATCTCTTAATATTATTTGAAGATATAGTCCAGTCATTATAGTAAGTTCACCTCGGAATTCGAGATACCCAGCTGTAAGTCTGTAAATACTTGTATATTGACACCCTAAAAATTATCTCAAAACCTACATATGGTAGGGTGTACGCAACTATTAAATTTTAAGGTCAAAGGTCACAAAAATCGGTTTTTTTGCGCTTTTTTTTTGTAAATATCTCATTTCCTATGAGTTTTTGCTATTTGTAGAATACAAAATTCTCTACAAATTTTGTTTAAAAAAATGTTTCATAAGGTGAACCGTTTTCGAGATAGAGGGCGGAGAGCGCGCAGTCACAGCATCACTTCTGGTCAACCGGTGCCTCCGGTCGAAAACGCGCCATATACAGAGTGTTTCCGAACTTGGCGTCCAAATTTGTAGGGGTGGTAGTTCGCATAATTTAAGACCGATTCGCAGATTTCATTTTTCCAAAATATTTTAAATAAAAATAATTAAAAATTATAAACAGCTACGCGCTCAGGGTAGGACCTGCTCTTTAATTTTTTTATAATGCTTCTATTTTGTATATTATAATTTTTTTAGAAAAATGAAATCTGCCGATCACTCTCAAATTATGCGAACTACCACCCCTACAAATTTGGACGCCAAGTTCGGAAACACCCTGTATAGTTAGTTGATGAACTATCGATAAATCAATGATTATAAATATTTGTCAATTTTTATTAGCTATTATATTATATTTTATCATTTTTTTCCTAAACTATCCACTTTTTATTCAGTATTAATTTATTTAACAACACTTACCTGCCCATGTAATTGCAGAATTGTTAATGAAAATATAGGAATTATATTTGAATTTAAACCTAATTAATATTAATAACTTCTTACATGATGAAAAATTTTCGAAGCATTATAGACTGCTAATAAGGTTTGAGTTCCACTTTCTAATAATCTCTGGGCCGAACAATTTTCTTCCAAATTTGTCAGTTTCTCAAAAACTTTTAAAAATTATTTTTTTCCCTTTTCAAAAAGCGGAGAAGTTGTGTCACAGCCACTTAATGCGTGCAGAAATAAGATATGCGTTTTGGAATGAGAATAACTATCAAAACTTTTAGTCCAATATATCTCCGTTTTTACATTTCCTTTCCCAACTTTTTTAAAGAAAATTTCTTGTTCGTAAGACAGTGTACGCCCAATTAAAATGGCAAGTAAATCAATATCTTGTCCTATTATAACTGCAGCTTTTTTAGACTTTGATTCTTCAATTGTAGTTTCAACAATAAGAACATCCGCATCATCTCTAGCTTGTTTAGTAGTAATATTTGCAGCTTGTAATTTTTCAATTAACCTATTAATGAGCATATCTTTGTCATTTCGATTTGATAAGAGTTTTTCTTGAGTAACTGGTACAACCATTGTTTTATCGAAACAGACTTCATACGTTTTTGAAAGTGCAGCAGTTCTTCTCTGCTGCTCCATAGCTTTTACGTTCTTACTGTAGTCTGAATATCCGTCAAATACAACAATTATTTTGGAACTGTGATGCCTTTGTAAATAATTCATGTATTCATCAAAAATAATAGAAAAATTATCTTCTCTGTTCCATACAACATGATGAAGAAGAAATCCGCCATCAATAATGAACGTCACATTATTTTCATTGAGAACAAAATCAATTGGGCTCATATTGTCATACAATGACGATTTTGTTGTTCTTCTCATGCCATCATTATCAAATAGAGCTGCTGGATACGGACTCAATTCATATTGAAGATATTCTTCAAGATAACTTTCAAATTATTTGCTGACAGTGTTTCTTTGGAAGAGTAATAATGGATCCACTGCAACTTTATAAAATCATTTATTTTTACAGATTTGTTTACACTGGAAAGCGGCATTACTTTTTCGGAACGTTTTAACTTTATTTCATTAAATGATAAGCCGGTGATCTTCTTCATAGACTCTAATCCAATTTCGTAAGCTCTATGGCAGTTAATTTGCTCATTTCCAACAACTCCAGAAGCTATCGATTTTAACTGCGTAGTATTTGAAAAAGGATCATGGAGTTTAAACCAATCAATAGTATATTTACGTCAGTATTGTCTTTTTTCACTCTTGAGTCTCTGGAATCTACGTGTTGCTCGGTCGACTCCAAGGAGATTACAGAACTTCTCCATTTCCTCACAATATTGATAATAAATACAAATAGCAAAAAACCCATAGGAAATGAGATATTTACAAAAAAAGGGCAAAAAAACGATTTTTGTGACCTTTGACCTTGAAATTTAATAGTTGCGTACACCCTACCATATGTAGGTTTTAAGACAACTTTTAGGGTGTCAATATACAAGTATTTACAGACTTACAGCTGGGTATCTCGAATTCCGAGATTCTTATCTAATTTAAGCTTAAATGACTGGACTAATATGGAAACTCATCTTTACAACACAAAAAACGATTTGAATCAGTGGACACTTGGAAAGGCGCTTTTAGTAGTCCTATTTATATATGAGTAAGCAATCTCTATAGGAATATATCATTGGAGCAAATGCGCGGTGTTGCCAGATTTACAACGTTTAATAGCTATCGATGGTCTGAATGCATTTTAATGGATCAATATCGTTAATGAGTATAAATATTTAAGGATCGTCTTGCAACCGACAAATACTTAATGATTTAAGAGACAAAAAAGAATTTGTTTTCTTTTATTATAACTAATTTAAATTTTAAACTGTCGTGCGTTGATTATCTATTTTTATTTTAACAAGTTACAATTTTCTTGTAAAATTAAATATTTCGATTCCATTTCACGAATTATTTTTCTTAACGAACTATTTATTAATGCATTGTATTTATTAAATACATCATTTTTCTTGATTTGATTTTAGAATTGTGGTGCAGGACCAAAATGTGGTGGAAAATATACGCTGATTTCTCTAACGAATGAAGATAAACAACTAATTTTAGATGTACACAATGAATTACGAAACAGAGTTGCAACTGGAGAAGAAACCATTGGCAAGCAACCGTCTGCTTCAAATATGAAAGCTTTGGTAAGTTAACCAGAATAGTTGTAAATGTAGAAAATTTAAATAAAAAAAAATATTTGGATAAACATTAAATTAATAATAAATACAGGAAATTTCGGCAACCCTATCCGCGATAAATAATTTTTAATATGAGGCTTTTACTCTTCGGAGGAAGAACGTTGTTTATTCCAGGGTCTGTGCCGTCGGCTTGATCCTTATGAGAAGTGTTTGGTTTCTGACGACGCAGGATAGCATACTGTGATAATTTATTTATACCATTAAATGTTTAAACCTTAATAATTTTATTAAAATTTTTAATAATCAATAAACAATAACCTAATGAACATTGAAAAACAGAACTACTTATTTGACTAAGGTAACGTGTTTACTAACTAAATAGGAACAAAATTTCTCTGCTGCCTCTATCCGAGGATAATTTGATATCTTGATAAAAAAACTTAAAGAAGTTATCTTTTCCTCTCCAGTTTCCCCCTTGTAAAACAAAATCTAGTGATAAACCGTTTTTGAATTTGGAGGATGCGACTGCTAGTCTTATGCTTCCTGGGGATGAACCAATATCGGCCGCAATAAAGGCTGTCTTTATCCAACCAGAAATAACTGACCTGAAAGCTGGACTCACCTGACCTCTCGTAGTTATGAACAAATGAGTGAGTTGAGATCTAGCTTTTCTTCGACATTCGGAAACATTAATTAATTTCTTAATCCAAAATAATGGATCACAAAACCTATCTGGACATTTGAGTGATTTCCACTCTTAATAATGTTAGATCATGAACCCTACAACCTGAAACTAATAGTAGAATCAAAACCAAGCGTCGAGAAACTTGAAAAAAATATTGGATCGTTCTTCATCCATTCTATTAGCTTACTTACATTGCATATAAACTTCTTATCCGGGGAAGGTTTATTCAAATCTATGGCTTTCAGAATTTGTTTCACGATGGATCTGCTAATATTGCAATTACAGACTTATGAACCTTAATTGTTGAGGGAGCTAATTTTTTTACTTGATATAGATAAGCAAGGTACTGAGCCACCTGACTTGGTTCTGGGTTACCAGGTGGAATGTTTCCTTCTCTAGTCCAAGAGAGCTATTGTCGCCATGGTACTGAATACGTTTTAAGCGTTGATCTGCGCCAAAAATTCTCCAATAAACTTATATCTTCTTTTTTCCAGTCCTTCACAGCACAGGCCCACCTTGTTTCTTCCAGGCTTCCAATCGAAGTTCTTTCGCCCGAGGTAATGGGTTGCCTGCATTCATGTCGACTGGGTGAAAACTGAGATTCTGTATTCTTAGAGGTTCGGCTATAATTCGGGATATCAGATCATCCCTCCAAAAAACGCGCTTCCACTTCGGTGCTATCGGAATGTAGGTTTCTTTGGCTAAGTTTAGATGGCTTAATATTCGAGGAATCAAAGACGGAGGGGGAAACAGTTAGGCTAGGGGGAACATCCAATTCCCGCTGAATGTATTGATAAAAAGGGCTTTGTGGTCTCTGAGATTTCTTGAAACATAGACTGGAACTAATTTCGACTTCATCGTGGCGAACAAATCTATCTGAGGGGTTTTCCACAATTAAAAAATTTGTCTTGTTACTGTATTGGAAAGGTGCCAGTCCGAAGCTGATTTGTTGCGGGAAAGGCTGTCCGCAATGTCGTTGCATACTCCGGGGATAAACTGTATTGTTATATTGATCTTCATCTTGTGAATCAACTTCCATATATGTGACGTGAGGTCCAGTAAGGCCAGAGATTTTGTTTCTCCTTAGTTCCATCTGAACAAAAATTGTCTTCTCCTTTAGCATTCTGCTATATTTTTTTTTAGTGTCACGTAAATAACGTAGACTTCTTTTCTGTTTATGTGCCAATTTCTTTGATGTTCTAACCAAACTTCCTTTAACGTGACGTCCTCTATTTGTGCCCACCAACCAGTGTTCGACGCATCTGTGATTATAAATACTTTTGGATCTTTTGGAAATCGGGGTGCTGACGTCTTTAGGTTCTGTATCCACCATCTGCATTCTTCGATTGTTTGCTTTTCGGAAAAGTTTCTGGAAGACATAGGCTTACTCGCTGAGTTCGTCTTTAGTTCAATCTTCTCAAGGGTATTGCAAACGTAGCAAAATTAAGCTTTCCTAATACGCTAATTGCTTGTCTCCAACTCCATCTCTGAGTTGTTATTATTTTCTTTATGTCTTTTTCTAGAGCTACTCTCTTTTTTGGAGGAAGGGCCACGTGATCGCTTACTGTGTCCCAAACTAATCCTAAATATTCTATTCTTGTTTGGGGAGTGGTCAACGACTTTTCTTGGTTCACCACCCAACCTAGACTTTCTAAGAAGAATATTGACTCCTGCACTTAACTTTGAAGCTTTCCAGAAGAAAATCGTCGAGATATACAATGATTCTTATTCCCGTTTTTCGAGGTTGACTTACCAACCAGTTCGAAACTCTTGCGAACCTTAGAGGGGCATTTGAAGGACCAAATGGAAGACATGTCATCTGATAGATCGCCCCCTTGTGAACTAGCGACAGAAATCTTCGATATCGGAATTGTACGTGAATGTGATAATAAGCTTGGGTAATGTCCAATTTTGCCAAAAAATCCCCCTCTGCAAAAACTCTGGCACTTTGAAGTGGTTTAAGAGATGAAATTTCTTTGACCGAAGGTAGCGGTTTAGCCCTTTCAGGTTGAACATTGGCCTTAAAGTCCCATCTGATTTCGGGACTATGAACATCTTTGACAGAAAGCCTGTTGGGAAATTGGATACCTCGAGAACTTTCTGTTGTAACATGGTGTCTATTTCTTTTGACATATATTTGGTACAGAATTTCATTTGGTTTTTGGTGGAAAATTGGGTCAATAATGGTTTACGAATGAAGGGTAGAGAGTATCCGCTAACAATGCTTGGAATACTCTTGGGGGTTCCAGATCTTTTCCACTCCTGTAAGTAATATTTCAAGCAGCCCCCTTCGAAACTTTTCGAATTGTCATTTCTTTTTAAATAGAGAGAATAAACGAGAACGTTCTTGGATTCCGTCTTCCACATTCGAATAGCTGCGTCGACCAGAAGATCAAATTGTCTGCGGATTAGTAAAATGTCGCTTTTGAACGACTTTTGAACCTGTGTAATGTTTTGGTCTAAACGACTTTTGCTCACGAAAAAAATTATTAGTACGAAATAAATTTCCATATTGTCGTAGAAGGTCAGCAACAGCTGTCTCATCAAAAAAATGAGTAGCTAATGACGAAATAGCATTCAACAATGACGCTGCATATTCATTACGAGGTCTTAACATCCTACGACGGTGTTCTAAAACCTCAGCCCTTCGTGCACAGGTATATTGTAATATATCATCTGACAGATATCTAAAGTTTGAGGCTGGATCCAGTAATATTTCTTAAATATCTGATTTAATAGCTGGGTGTTTAAAAATTAGAGTTTTTATAGATTCCGCAAAAGCCTCTCTTTGAAGAAGCAAACTATGCAGTACCGTGCCTAAAGTTAAGTCAGTTTTTGTCATCTGCTCCTAAAGCGCACCTGAAGGGCCAAAATAACTCAATTATTGATTGTCTTTTAAATGACAGAAGACTCAAGTAGCCTGTAATTTTTTTTTAACTTCCACGTATCTTATTTTATTATATGTAAGCCTTCCTAATCTTTGGCATTCCATACCCTGCTTTTCAATGTGAGGGACAGCCAAAGGGATTATTGGTTCCAGTTCTTTAGTATGAGGAGTAAAGTCAAGGTCTATGTTATGTTATGTTGATAATGGGGTGTTAATACACTGCGACCTAAAAGATCTATTGTGCCCCCTTCTGTCGCCACTGCACTAAGGAAATGTCTCAATGCCTATAGCGACCCTTCCAATCCTATTTTCTAAAGGAAGTGTAGGATTTGAAGTGGCTTCAAGTTAGGTTAGTCTCCCTCTTCTATTTGATATCCTCCTAGATATAGTGCCCTTGGATTCTGGAGTGCTACACATTCAGTTAGGAAGTCAAGGTCTAAGGGAGGTTCTGTAGAAGAAAGGTCAGGTGCGATCCAAGACGAGTTGTCTATGTTAGACGCATTTAAAGAAATATTTGGAGAAATATTTTCCTGGTCATCTGGTTCATCCTCAGAAAGCTGTTGATCTGATTCATCCTCAGAGGGAGCAGCATCGAATTTTTTATCCAATCTGCTTTCTTTCTTAGGGACTACCGGACTAGATGAGATAGAATCATCATTGTCTGAAAATTGTCCTAGTTGTTACAGGCTTCTTTTCTGGGAATCATTATTGGCTTCATCTCGGCTAACGATGCAAGAAGTATTTTATTTTGAGCGACAGAGCCTCGAATTTGTGCTGCTAATGGTAGTGGCCCTATAATTAGCCTTACACAAAATGGCCTATCCAACATTTTTAATTTCATATCTCGATATATTCTTTCTGATAAACTAGTAGCTTTCGGCCTAAAGGCTCGTGCCAAACCTACAGTGGGAAGAGCGAAACGAATATTATTTAATAATTGTGCATCCATTTCGTCTCCTAAGAGATCTTCTGTAAAAAGTTCTGTCACTTTCCAATCTAGCCAACCATCCGGCAAGTAGATGTATGCTAATTTATTTATTTTGTCTAATATTTGTATATCGCTCTCATTGTCTGCATCTAAAGTCGCTAAATCAGCCATTTTCCTGACTGCTTTAGGTGTCGCCATCTGTAACGAACAGCGACCTAAATAGTATGAATCTTCGAGAACGGGGTGAACGATAAAATTTTGAGCCGTATTTTAGCTTCAACCGAGCCGTAAGGCTGCTTAAATTGAGCTGTACGGCTGCTTCGAGCCGCAAGGCTTCTTAATTCGAGCCGTACGGCTGCTTAAATGAGCCGTACGGCTGCTTAAAATGAGCCGTACGGCTGCCCACATCGAGCCGTACGGCTGGCTAATTCGAGCCTTACGGCTGTTCAATACGAGCCTTGCGGCTGCGAAATTGAGACTACACGTGTCCGGAAGACGCTGTGTTTAGTTACATATTATGCAATGCCAATCTTAAATCAATTTTACCTTATTCTCCAGCTCCGGCACTTGCACTTATTTTGAACGGTCGCACTCAGTGTTTACAGCATGTTGAAATAAAGCGTACTGATGAATACCCTTACTGGATTCTAGTGGGTCGGTCTCCGGTCGGATATAGGAGGTGGGAGTAACGTTCGGGCTAGGACGCACGCAAGAAAGAAAGAAGAGGATGAGTGTCTATAGCGAGGTAAGATAGAGACGTAATCTCATAAGTGTCAAACCGAGGGCACAGACCCTGAAATAGGCAAATATCCTTTTATTATTTTGTAAGATATTCTCCGATAGGCCATATTTATTTTAAAAGTCAAGAGAAGGGATTTCAAAAATATCGTAATTTGAAAAGAATTATTGGAAAAATGTTGGTCTACTGGAAACAGTTGAGATATTCTTCCAGGCACACTAGCTAGATTGGTTTTAATGTACGCAGAAATAACGGATGTATCTTGTTTGATTTAGCAACAAAACTAAATATATTGTAAATTGTCTGTTTTTATTCCTGACATTTGAGAATTCTCACCAGTTTTTCATCTTTATTAATTTCCACTCTGTTGTAGAACATTCTCTAATTTACACTTGAATCTTTTTCTTTCTATATTAAAGTTGCTCGTTTTTTCGAAACTTGGACAAAAACAATCTACAGCATCTTACACAACCGATCTCTTTTAGTGTTTTTGTTTTCTATGTAAAGAAAAAATGTACGTCTGTTTGAAACTCGAGTAAAGGTCTTAATTTATCAGCTCTAGCACAATCGATAAAAAAAAATTTGTATTTTTAACAGCAGAAAATTATGCATACTCTTGTTTCACAAAGAATTTTTAACAGATCTTCTTTTCAAGATCTGATGTCGGTTCTTCGTTATACTAGCTTCCCTGCTCAGATATTGCAGCTTTTACTCAGTTTAGGGATACTTTAATTCTATAAGAAGTATTTTAAATGAAATAAAAAAAAAACAATTATTAGTACTTGAATGACAATTTAGTTTTATCCTTCTTTTTCCTTATCGCAAACTGCCCTGACTATTCAAATTCAATAAATTTGAAATTTATTCTCGTACAAAACATTCACTTAAATGTGTTAATTTGTAAGATTCTGGCACAAAATTTACCAGAACAGTATTGCTGAAGAGTTCTACAGTAGTAGGCCGTCATCTGGTTATCCCCATCTCTCTTGATATGGATCTTTCGTCTTCTTTTTCTTCCTCTTTACTAAAATCATTTAAGTTTTCTGGAAACCCATAAATGTCGTTGTGAAGATAGTTAACTTTAGTATTCTTGTTACAATTAAGAAAATTAAAATTAGTTTTCACAAATTCTATGTAATTCTGTGTCTTATGATTTACAAGGAAATTCTACATACTAAGCGTCAGATTCAATCTCGTTCATTAGTGCGGTAAGTTGTGGATTTTTAAAAAGTTTCCTTATCCGAGGGCCTACCAATATTCCGACTTTCAGTTTTTCCGTGCTGATTTTTGAAAATTTTTGGTTTGAGGCATCAAAATAAAGTCTCTCAAAAAAAAGCTCCACATATTGGTTTAAAAAACCAAACTTTTAAAAAACCAAACCTCATATGATAGAGCGAAAATTTTTTTCTCTTGTAACCAAAGGTTACGTTTTGTTTTACTAAACTGACGACATTTCTCACATCTTCTATATTCGCTTATATTTTACAGAATTACAACAGCGAGCTAGGATATGGAGCACAATGTATGACCAATAGCTGCCTATTGTCTGATCAATGTAGTCGTACAGGTACGTAATAATAAAAAAGTTGGTTTTCAAATACGCTGTTAGTATTTCAAGATTGGTTCAGTCTGGTTTTCAATCTGTTACCAGTATCAAACTATGTGCGTTTAAAAACAATATTAATGATAATGCAGATAACACCTTCTGGAAGAATAAAGGCCACTCATATTCCCATATGTCTAGGTTCATACTCTTTGATTTCTTTGTGGCACTACTTATTCCTATAAAACAAAACCTTTATGTGGTATAATGGTGTTCATTACACTACACCTTTATGTCCTGTAATTGCTGTTAACACCGTACTAACGGATCCTCAGGACCTTGTTAAAGGTACATTGGGTTTGCAGATCAAGCCTTACATACCTTCGTCTGGCATCCTAACACATGGTTCTGTTAAGTAATTAGTTTTTTTTTATGTTTTGTGCTGTATGAGTACATAGTTTATGTACTGATAGACTTTTATATTGTACCTAGTAACCATTGGTTCAGCTCATTACTGAACCAACTCATATAACTGAAACATGTGCCACGTTAATTGATTCCATGTTCATTAATAATCCAAGTACTGTTACGGAACAAGGTACAATTAATATAGACCATTTTAGTGACCACCAAATGAAATTTTGTCAGCGTAAAACAACTAAAAAAAATGTACAAGATAAATTTGTGACATATAGGGATTTCAGTAATCTAGATATTAATATGTTCAATCAGGATTTGTATAACGTTCCTTGGCATAGTATCTTATATTTTAACACTATAGAGGAAAAATTTTTATCTAACAATATAATTAATTTATTTAATACACATTGTCCTTTTCAAACAGCTCGCATTAAAAAGCCAAAAGCTCCCTGGTTAACACCTAATCTAAAATCAATTTTCAAAGAAAGGGATAAGGCATTGACAAGATACAAAAGAAATAAAACACTTAATGGTTGGAATGAATATAAAAATCTTAGAAATTATGCTTTAACATGTTTAAGATCTGAAAAACGTGCTTATATGGTACAGTTGCATCAAAGCAAAAACATTAAATCGTTTTATAAAACTCTATCAGAATTGAAGGTACATACTTCAAACTCAGCAGAAATACCCTTTAATTTACGAAATCCCTATAAAATTAATAATTATTTTACATCCATATTTCAAAACAGTGACGTACAATGTGCAGAAAGCATTTTCTTTTATAGAACTCATAAATTCAAGCCATATAAAAGCTTCAAGTTCAATCTTGTTTGTTTAGATGACATCACTAATGCATCACATAGAATTAAATCAAATTCTTGTGGTATAGATGGTATTACTCCACAAATGCTTTTCTGTTATTGGAATTTATGTTTGGAATATGGTTACTTTCCTGACCAATGGAAAACATTTGATACTATAAATCACCGTTTGCTAATGGCAAAATGTTACTATTATGGCTTCGACCGAACAGCTTGCAAATTCATCGAATCAAATCTGTTTAATCGTCGTCAGATAGTAAAGGTTACCAATCAACAGTCCAGTGCTAATGAAATAGTCTCGGGAGTACCGCAAGGTTCGGTCTTAGGACCCTTACTATTTTTATTGTACACATCTGATTTATATACTAAAATTAAATATTGTCAAGCTCAATTTTTCGCTGATGATACTCAGATATATCATGACTTCAAATTCTGTGACTTTCAGATTGCAACTGCTCAAATGAATGAAGATTTATCATCAATTTCCAAATACTGTGATGCACACAATTTGCGATTAAATCCATCAAAATCTGAAATTTTAGTTCTTTCTTGGCAACAAACTCAACAGAATTAATCTTAAACTTAACATTTCTATAAAAATTAAAAATGTCTTAATACCTTGTGTAGAATCTGCCAAAAATTTAGGTGCCTACTTTGATGAAGACTTTAGATTTCAACCCCATATCCAACATGTATTGCAACAATGCTATCTAAGACTGCGCTTACTTTTTGCTAGCAAACACATACTGACAAAAAAACATGAAAATCTGTCTCACTGAAAGTTTAGTTGTGTCTAAAATATTGTATGGTTTGATTATTTATTACCCTTGTTTAACAAGTGAAAATAAACGCAGGTTACAAGTTATTCTAAACACATGTTGCAGGCTCATTTAAAATTTAAGAAAATATGACTATATATCATTACCATTTAATACCCTAAATTGGTTTAATATTCAACAATTGTGTGAATACAGCACTTTAACATGCATTCAAAAAATTATGATAACCTCTAAACCAACCTACTTAAAAGACAAATTAATTCCCCGATTGTCCTTTCATAATCGTTTTATTAGAGACAAGTATTTGCTTAATATGCCTCAATTCCACTTATCTACATATACCAGATCTTTTATATACAATGGCATAAAACTGTACAATAACTTAGACAGTAATATTAAGTGTATTCAATCTGTAAGTTCTTTCAAAAAAAAAACTAAAACAATACCTCTTAGTATCTTAACTATTTTAACCATTATATTTTTTTTATATAAAAATTTGTATTGTATATTATATTCTTTAATGTGTTATGAATTCGATCTTTGTGTTTTACATTTGTATTTTATATTTAGCTATATTTTATATATATTTTTTTTCTTCAACAAAACAAAAAACTGCCATTATAATCGAGCAGCTTTTAGGGTTAGGTGTAAGAGTAGCTTTAGCTAAATCTCGCCCATTGTATCATACTAACATTATCTTTCAATAAAGTCGTTTATTATTATTATTATTCAGTATATGAAAACAAATGAAAGTGGTAAGTACTGTTTACGTGTAAGTCACGATAATAAAACAGCTATTGGATGTGATCTATGATGCGTACGTTCCTAGATTCCTGTGGGCCGAAGCTATCAATATGGCAGTGTATATTTTAAATCGTGCTAGTACCAGTCAGACTCAAAATGCTACTCCATTCGAACTTTGGCACGCCAAGAAGCCAAATCTCACTCACCTAAGCATATTTGGTAATGAAGCTTGCCTTGTTCCTGACCAACAACGAATAAAGCTTGACTTAAAAAGCAAAAACTGTAGTTCTGTTGTTTGATATGATAGCAAAATAATTACAAACCCAAAACTAAAATCTATCCCATATCCAACGAAGATGAATATGAAGACAGATGAAACTGAACATAAAGCAGACAATTATGAACAGGAAAATAAAGTAGATATCAATCAAACCAAAAGAAGCAGAAGAAATTACAGACTTACCTGATAGAAGCTCAAAGAGAAACATTCGAATGCCGAAAAGATATGAAGATTATGAATTAAATTTTGTAAAAATGAAATATACCGCAGTCCTATGAAGAGCCTTAAGTGGTACCAATGTTAAGGAACGAAACAAGGCGACCACAGACTAATTGGATACCCTCCGTAAAATGAAACTTGGCAGTTATGTCCCGTACCTGACAATAAAAATGTAAATGTCATCGGATCTAAATGAGTATTTAAGGTTAAAAGAAAGCCTGATGGAGAAATCCTAAAATTTAAAGCAAGAGTATGTGCGGAAGGATATACACAACAAAAAGAGTTGGACTAGAATGAAATTTTTGTACCAGCTACGAGATACGGTACAATTGGAGTCCTGTTGGTAGTTGCCGCTTAAAACCAGTTGGACATGATGCAATTTGACGTCAAGACAGCATTCCTCTATGGCAAATTAAGTGAAGAGCTGTACATGTTGCTTCCTGAAGGACTACAATATGATCCAGGATTTGTGTGCAAATAACAAAAACCAGTATATGGTTTAGAGCAAGTGCCTCGCTGTTGTAACACTAAATTTGATACATTTCTGAAGAGCTTTGGATTCACTTAAAGTAACGCCGACAAATGCGTATATAGTGGCAAATTTTATGCCCTAAAAGTTCTTTTATTACTTTATGTGGATGTCGTAATGTCATCAGATTTGTCTATCCCAAATAAAATTTTATATAAACTATAAGTGAAGTTAATTCTATGTTAGTTTGGAAACGACATGAAATAAAACGGTTGGCTCTATCTTCATTTTTCAAGCAAACTATGTCCAATAACTTTTGAAAAGTTTTGGCTTTGAACCCAGCAAGTATACCCAGATATCCACGTGTTAAACTTTTTATCGCTACAGAGCCTATTTTAGAAAAGAGTGAAGTTTCCTATAGAGATTGTGTTCGTTCATTAATTTTTTCCGCAATGGTAACAAGATTAGACATAGAGCATTCGTAAGTCGATACTTAACTAGCCTCACCTATATGGGCTGTGAGTGATAGTGCCAGTGTAGTTTAAACAGAGCTAATGGGGATTATCATAGCAGCAAAATAAATAACCAGAAAGAATATCACTGGAAGGAATATGCTCATCTATACAGATAGCAGACACGTACTACTCACCCTGAACAGTCTTTCAATACCTTATTGTTACATTTGGTTACAGCAGTACTTGTGACAGCCTTGTTACCTCTATTTATTGCCCTTTTAACAGCTTTGGCCGAAGTATCCATCAACAATGTGGTCACCATAAGATGGAATAAAGGTCACGCCACATCGAAAGGTAACCGTCTTGATGATTTACTAGCCAAGAAAGCAGGCAACCAAATACTTTTTGGACCTGGCCCTTCTATTGGCCTGACAAAATCGGTAGTGACAGACCTAACCAAAGAACATTCCCTTGTGAAATTCAAGAAAAGATGGGAGGAAACAAGAGACTTTAGAGTTGCCAGGGAGCTCTTAAGTTATCCTGACAACACTGCAGCAAAAAATTACTTGACTATGACTAGACAGAATCTGCGCCCAGTCACAGGCATTCTGACTGTTCATTGCCAAGTACAGAAACATCTCTATATCATGGGGCTGTCAGAATTTGCACTCTTCAGAGGGTGTAAACAAGAAGATGAAACCATCAAATATATCCTTTACGATTTCTTGATGCTCTCTTTTATTAGAAGATTTATGTTCGGCGAGTATCGGCTAACACCGGCCAATATAAGAGAAGCGCCTCTTGGTGACGTTGTTAACTACATTAAATCTGTGA